AACAAAATACTTCGAGTGTTTGAGAAGGAATGACCTATCTCTTTTTTCTTTCCAAACGCCTTAGTAAATAGAGTCCCAGAAAACTAGATAGAATGCTTATTAACAGACAGAATTCTTAAAGAAAGGATACAAAATCAAAATTATTTCAAGAGCTGCTCCCACAAAACCAAAGGTGGATAGGGACGCATTTCCTATTCCAGGTCCCTAGGAAAAAAATACTTTGCATAATTTAATAACATACACACAACATGTATACACAGTTCAATTATACATCTTAGATGAAACAAAACTTTTTCTTAATTATTTAAGGATCATTCTGATGTTCTATAACCTGCAAGCCTCACATCCCTTGCAATTGCATCATCTAGCTTTCAAACTTGAGTGAAATGCAGCATTAAGTTGGAAGTTACAAAGTTTTGCAATTCATGCACCTATCCACCATACTAGAGGAGAACTCCAGAAACTAAAATAGGAGATCTCTAAAGATGAGCAACTGTTCAGAAAGCAACAAACAGTGCAGCCAACAAACTAAATGGCTTTTACAACTCTGCAACCTCATATATAGCTACAGGCAGGGGAAAGCATTACCAACTTACATACCCTTGTGATTAGAAGGACTACTACTCAGTATGCTATTCTTTACTTTCTTGAAGTTTTTTTGGTTGTTTATCATAAAGGAGGAAAAAAACATGTTTTGAAAGATTAACACAATGATCTCAAAGGCTTTTCGTATACTTTCTTTACTACCTTTTTTTTCCTTAAACTGAATATTTCTAGACTGTATAGAAGTAGATCATGCCAGAAAAATGCAAAACTCCAGATCAGTTATTTACTTGACTGATCATTACACGTTTGTAAAGATTATGGACTGGTTTTATTAAGAACTCACTATATCACGATGTGTAGTAAATGCTTCAGCAGAGCTGAAACCCAGAGCAACTTCATAAAGTTTCAAAGTGCGCTTCTGTAAAGTCTCCAAAGTGTTACCAAGACTATAGAAATGGCGTAAGAGAAGTTTACTTTACCCCTGATCCTTTTGGCATTGCAGTCTCATCAACCAACAGGTAAAGAATGTTGAAAGCAACTAATAGGACTGAGATGGACTATGAAGAAGAAGAAACAATCTAATTAATTAAAAGCATTCCACATTTGAGCAATGAGTATATATATCCTCACTGGAATTCATAATGGTAAGTTCTTTCAAAATGATCAGGAAATGTATTGAGTTTATTGCTTAAAGATATCACCCAGAGTATTTAAAACAACATTCCCAAATGAGTGAAGAATTCTTCATTATTCTTCCTTTAAAAAAACGGAATTCTTACTGTCTCAATCAGCAGTAATATCATAACAGCTGGATACACTAAATTCCTCTCCCAGGCAGAAGCTTTTTTCCGACGTTCTGTTCAGAAGAGAAACACAGAAGCATATTAACACCGATGAGCTCAGAGTGAAACAAGCAACAATTATTTAGGGTTCTATAAACTCTTGCATGTGGATAACAAAGCAATCTTCTCTCAAATTGACAACAACCAATTCATGATAATAACCACTCTGAAGAGAGGTACAAAGCAATGCCCAAAAATGAAGACTTCTCTCAGAAAAGTTAGGGAGAAGGACAGAAGCAATTTTTTTTTTCTTGTTTAACATTGTTTCCACCATAACATTTTTTCCCCTGGCATACTGTAGTATAGCAGAGGTTAAACTACAATGAATTTAAAAACACTTTTTTTACTCAGTTCATAAAGTCTCCTAGATAATGGCGCTGTATTCCAGACCTTGCTCTGTAAGGCAGTATTACACTGAATATTGAGATACATAATAAAGGGCAGAACCGTACATATATTTTAGTATGAACTCAAGGGTAAGAAGGGAATTTAAATATCTAAACTTCTTTTTCTTTTATCACATAACTGACAAAATAGGAGACTAGCATACTTTAGACATACTGACATTCAATACAACCAAAAAGAAAAGTCAACAGCTTCTTACTGCAGTCTTACCTTTGCACACTGATAAATGCAAAGTATTGCAAGCCTGCGAGTAAGTAGGGAGACTCCTACTGGGTGGCTGCCAAAGAGTCACAAATGTCACAATACATGAAAATGGTTGTGCTACTGATTTCCATGCCAGGATGCCAAGTATTACAGTTTCTTTATAATTGCATTAAAATTAAGATCCAAATCAGACTCTCTCTTTAAAACATTTGTTAGGCAGATACGACGATTCCATGTAAGGCAATTCTAGAACCAACGACAGTTTGAAAGGACTGCAAATGCACATATTTCATTAGAAACAATTGGAATTAATCAGGTGATGTTGCAAAATGAACACAGTACCTTAAAGTCACTTAAATTGCAATCCACATGGAACAGTATGAAAAGCATATTACCTAGATTTGTTTTCTTGCACTTCACTTTTTCAAGCTCTCGTTCCAACTCTACTGTCTGGTTTTCCAATGTGGAAGATATCCCTTTTAAAACACAAGACATTATTTTGTTTTGGATGGGACCAAATATAGTACTGCAGAACATACTGTGAATATTCAGATTTAGGAGACATCACATTAACACTTGTGAGTTCAAGCTGCAGGTGTCTTTCTGATATTCAACTACTTTTTAAAAATGACTAACGGTGTGGCAGCATGACACAGAATGGCTTGTATGCCTCATTCTTTTGCCTCCATATGACTACCATATCAAGAATGCCCTTCAAGAGCATTATTATTTAGCAACTTAAAGACAAAATGCACTTCCGCCCCCAAATTAAGCAAGGTGGTGACTGGACCTCCAGTTTCAACTTCTACTTCTCCTTCCCTTTTCTTAGTCTCTCAGTCTCCATACTGCTTCTCTACCTGTTGCAGTTTCTTCTGTCCTTATCTCCATTTTACCACCAGCCCATTGTAGTCAGCCACTCCGTGCTGCAGAACTCCCACCAACCACCACAATTCAACCTTCTTTACAGCCACCCATGAGATTCCAATCTTTCACACTCCCTTTTAGTTTACAGCATATGCATGTCACTAATAACTAATTCCTCAAACTCCTTTCTCTACACCAACTGAAAATTGGCAACAGCGTTAGTACTTCTCTGCCTTGCTCATCTTCTGCCTAGAAGTTAATCATCAAGTCTTCCTCCCCTCCCCCAGGTAGGTCTAGGGAAGCCAGCCTATCTTTCCTCTCCATCCTTTTCAACCTCCAATTCAGCCAATCAAACTTCCCAGTGCAAGCACACTTGGGTTTCTACCTTTGACTCCAGTTGCTGGCCATCCCCTACCCTTGGCCTCACCTCTGATGGCAGGCAAACCTGTAATAGCATAATATTACAGATGTTTTGTTGGCTTTTTTTAATGCTAATAAATTTCTATGAGACTAATAGCATGAACAGGCTTTTATCTCATATCTCAATAATTTGCCTACAGAAACTAGATAGCACGTAGATTGCTGGCATGCTAACACTACTTTATGGTCCAGTTTCATTGTTTCCTTATTTTCTGTTCTCTGTTGATCAACCTAACAATTTCAATACAAGGTAAGAAGATAAATTTATCATCCTCCATCCTTCAATTCTTGCAGTATTCTGCTGTGTGACATGCTAAATGAAGCAAGCATATTTCTTAACTTTTTCTTTTTTGGGGGGAAACATTTACTCTGAGTATGAATTTTTCAATGCAGAAATTTTCAGCATAAAAATCTTTCAGAAATCCATTTCTGAAATGTTTCACTGCATGTTTCTTTAACACAAAGGAAATGTGTTATATGCAAAAAAGTGTGATGTTTAAATTTATCTTTCTTATGCGTGTTATATCACTGATGATAATATTTACATTGGCTTCAAATCTTACAAAGATCTCGAATCCTAGAACTTACCATAAAGATGTATAAATACTGTTAGTCCTAACAATTTTCATTCACTTGAAGTGTCTGCAATGGTCATTATTTAAAATTTATGTTGAGAAATGAAACAGTCATCAAAATATGGTGGTGTTTTGTGTCGGATTTTTTTTTTTTTTTTTTAAGAACAAAGGTTGTTCTGCATGTTTGTTTTAATTTTTAAACACGTTTCATCATCATTTCCTACTCCTAAGACAGTGTTTTATGGAACAACTAATTACTGTAAGTTGAATTAAGAACATAGCTTTAGAGCTCAGTGGAAAAAGTCTCCAGAACCATAATAGAAGCAGTTAAAATAAGAAAAGTTAGCATCTGACGTTCTCCTCTCCATAATTGACTTAGTGGACTCTAGGGGAAGCCTTTATTTGAGGTATATGCAGTTTTTTCCCTTTAACTCAGAGCTCAAGACTGATATCTATGGGAGTCTTTCCAACAAAGTCAGCATAATCAAATTAGATCTCTAATGAGACACTTCCATACATATTCTGAATTGTATCTAAGTGCTGTTGTGGTTCCTCCTTAAAAGTAGCAAACAGGTTGCTATACAAAAGGATATTTTATGAGCAGGGAAGGTGAAGTTTCAGATCAGTCAAAAGAGTGTTTGAAAAGGATGCAGCTAAATTCTTAAAAGCTCTACACCATTAGCTTTATTTCAAACATGCACAAAGTTCAATGTCAGCGCTGTCTAGCCAATAAATCAAATTGGTAGACGAGACTTGTTTGGACTAGCAATGAAAAGTTAGAAGGGATTCTCCAAGAAAGCCACAAAGCAGCTCATTTAAGGTCAATTTAACGGTATTATTCTGTTTTTCTTCCAGCCCCGACATAAGATTTCAGTACCTCAAAGGAAATTGTAAGAGTATCTATTTGCATTCCCCCTAGGTGATTGGCAGTTCAACACCAATTAGTTCAAAATTACACTGTTACTAGCGTGCAATAAAAACAACACCTTTCATCTTTCTTACATAAGTAAGGATACCTTCAGAGCCAATAACTTTGATCAAGTAAGTATTTTTGATCCTACCCCACCCGTCTCTTTGGATTCAGGAAAACTAATAGCTGAAGGCAACTTTTTTCTTTTAATATAAAAAAGTCCCAGCTTTATTCTTCAACTGTAGGAGTGATGTGGGTACTGAAATATAATACACTGGAAACAAACATTTTCCCAAATCCCAGTATCTCTTCAACAGATAAAAATACTAGGGTAGATAACACGATCAAACCCTTCCCTCCCTCCCCCTCCAATTTTCACTTCGATACTGGAGAAGGGAGAAAATGAATTTTCACAAAGAAAACAAGCAGTTTCCCAGATAGATTTGTGTTCAAATAAGAGGAGGTTTACATAAAATTTTATCAATTATACCACAGCCACAATAGTTACATCCACACTAAGAAAGAAGGGCACGGCTCATACAGCCAAACTCTTCCTCAAGAGATGTTTTACCCAGCCAACCCTGTGTGAACAAAGATTCATGCTAACCCCTGACTACATCCAGGCACTGTCTGAGGAAACATTAATTAGGACTGACCACAGTAATACTAGGTGTGAAAGCAATTATTCCACCACGAAATAATCAGCACTGATAACCACCAAGTACTGTTTAAGGCTGTGAAGAAAGGCCAAGAGGTCTGGGGCTGTTCAGTCTGGAGAAGACTGAGGAGGGATCTTATCAATGCTTATAAATATCTAACAGGCAGGAGTCAAGCAGATGAGGCCAGGCTCTTCCCAGTGGCACCCAGTGTCAGAACAAGAAGCAAAAGGCTCCAACTGGAACACAGAAATTCTCTAGTGAACCTGCTTTAGCAAGGGTTTGAACTAGATGATCTCCAGAGGTCTCTCCCATTCTGTGATCCTCTTAAAAATGGACTCTATTTTCCCAGTATAATTTGTGTCTTAGAAAGACTTCTGGCAGAGAAGATGAAACTTTCCAGCCTTGCCGCATAAATGAGAACTGTACTTAATTACTTAAATAATTACTCACAGAAATCTTGTGCATGTAACATCCACCTCCACCTACATGCTATTTACAAGTTAAGCTAAAAAGCAGATAAAATCTTAAGTCCACTATTTTTCTCCGTATACTGAAGCCTACATTCTCAAGCATTTCTCTAGATAGCAGTGTCAACATCATTCCCTCAGCATGTGAAACAGAAGAATTCAGTTCCCTCTTCTAAGAAGAATTAAGCACCACATCATTCATCTCTCCAGCTCTATGAGATGTGAGTGGATTGCAGTTCTACTTTATGCTGAATTGTAAACAATTCACCAAAAAAGATCCAATCTTTCTGCTAGCGCAGGTGACTTCCTTAACTAGAAGACCAAAATGCAGGTTCAATTAAGATTTCTAGTAGGTCCATCTCAGAAGTGATTGCAACAGACATAGACAGAGAAAAACAACAATCATCTAAATTACATTCTCCTCCTCAATGGTGGAAACCACTCTGCACTACTTATAATAGATACTTGAATAACTATTTGTTCATTTTTCCGTATTGCTTTTTCTCATCCGTAAGCACCATCACCATGACAACATAAAATATTCAGTAACAAATATTTTACAGGTGCTAGCCAACATCAAACACACAAAATTATAATTATCCCATCATAGCTTCAAAGATGTTCACTCCAAGCATCTTTTTGCATGCTTGTATGTATATGCGTATATATGCATACATACAAGTCAGTATTAAAAGCAGTAACTTCCAAAACAGCAAATGCAAATGCTACTTTTAAACTGAAACGATGCCTGATTACTCCTCCACCCATTTTAAATGTTGAAACAAAGACCATTACCTACTGTTATCAAAGATCCCTTCCCTGATCAACTTTTACCAGAGACTTACTGAGAACTGAAAGAAAAGATTGAGGTATCACTGAAGAGTAGAAAAGAAAGGCAGGAAATGAAGAAAATTAAAGCTAAAATTAGTCACGTCTTCCAGAAAAGACAACAGAGGATGAAAGCGATGACATGAAAAATCTCTTTTTTCAAAACTGAAACAACTGCATAAATAGTGGATCAATAGCTTAACCACGCAGCTAATAGCAATTTAGAAAAGAGTATGTACAATGTGATTTCTAGATTTAAAGAGTTAGAACTGATACATTTTTCCATAACTGGCATCTGTTATTCCTTATCTTAGAAACTAAAGTTTCACATTGCTTTTAAAATACTTTAAAACATGAACACTTTGTCAAGAATGGCAGAACTGTAATACTAACATCAAAAAGCTCAAAACATTGATATAATTTATTCTCTGTAATTATTCATTAATGGATGCATAGCAACAATTAAATTAACCATACAGCTCCCAGAATATAATGAACTGCTACAATACTTAGATTCTAAACTAACAATTAATTAAACAATTGAAACAAACAAAAAAAATTTCTGCAAATAAACAGAACTAACAGTGTAGGACACTGAGCCTTCTGATGGCAGAGTAAGTTACTGCTCTTTGGGAAGGGATAAAATACAGTTGTTTATCAATCCAAATTATTTTTACAGCAAGGGCGGTGGGTTTGGTCAACTTCTGTTTCATTTCTTATTATGAACATTAACAGACTAGAACTGATGAATATGTTAAAAACAAACAAAAACACACAAGCTAACCTTGAACACAGTAAGCAATGAATTGTAAGCCTACAATGACTGTTTCATACTAAGATCTCAAATTATTTTGAGAGAGGAGCCTATTTAACACTGAGATCAATACTCATAACTAGGAGCACTGTACTCTAAATACTGTATTGTAAGCAGTAGCAGAACAAGCATACCATTAAGCTTCCTCTGAATTGCTTCTTCCTCTAAAGTGATGATATACATCTGCTCATCTAGGTCCTCAAGAATCTGTATTTGGAAACAGAAATATGAATTGACTGAGTATCAACAGAAAAAATCACCTTTTTGATTTACTTAGGCTTGTTTTGTTCCAGTAACCTTTATTTTGAATATATATTCTACAACTTCAAAATATAAATACAAGAAAGAACAAGAAAGAAGAGATGATTCCATTCTGTTACAGATCTTTTTCTTCGCTGCAAGCAAACTGTTATGTTTTTATTTCTGGTTAAGACTCTTACATTTAATCTCAGCCTAAGGATATTAGGGGAATGGGACATTACAGTGACCTACACTCACAACCTACTGACCTTCACATCCAATTTGATTTAAACAAAATGAACGGCAGATCTTGAAAAAGTAAATTAAAAGAATTTCTCATAAACCAGTAATTTAAGCAGATAAATTGCTGTTGTATTTTGTTTCTAGCTTCCAAGAAGCCTGTCTATCTACCTTAACGTCAGGCACTTTGAATTTAAAGCTTACAAGCAGCAAAACAGTTGTATACATTCTCTTTCTATTTTCAAGATTGCCCCGCCAATGATAAGAAATGAAAGACCTAAGCACACCCAGATTTTAGTAAACACAAACTAGGAAACATGACAGCAAGGTCACTAGAGCATCTGCCCATGGTACAAATTTTTTCCATTCCTTCACATCTTTCAGTACAACCACAATATAGTATCTACATTTCAGAATTTCTCACGTTGCCAGCTACCTCATGGCAATGCCAATTTCTCTCAGCTAAGTGTACCCCCAGATAACTCTCTGCTCTTGTATCCTTACCTCTTGAGCTCAAAACAAGAACACACCTTTCAGGCACTAGTAGGCAATACTGGCAATTAATATTAGTACTGGTGCATTAATATTAACACCAGAGAAAGTCTATACTATTAGAAAAAGTTCTTTGAGAAAAGCAGCCTCTTGTGCTATAAGAAAAAAAACTGAAAACAAGTATATAGATAACAACTAAAGGAACTCAGATAAACTGAAGAGAGAATTAAATAGCAGTACAAGTCTTCTGCAGGAAAATACTGAAATGCCACTGTACCTTCTCCCAGATAGCACTCAAGGACAGGTCTGTGTAACACTTACTGTTGGCTTCACAAGCAACTGACCCATTACTGTAAACATCCGTGAAAGTCCCACTGGCGTGCATACTACAAAGGAAGGAACATTACATAAAACAGTCATTTCGAAGTCAAAGACTAGCTTTTCTTTGCATGTTCTGTATCAAATATGTTATACTCCACATGCAACCACATACAGTTTTCAAGATAACTGAAAGATCTTCAAAATTACACTCTGAACTTTAAACCTTTTGCTGTTGTATCAATTTTGAACAAGACAAGCATCTCTCCTTCAAGGGCACAACTGATTTTCTGTCATCATAGAGATCCCTTATGAGAGATCTTATGCTTTGAATAAATAATCCTGTGAGCAAGCTTATGACACCAGAGGCTATGCCTATTCTAGTGAAATCAGCAGTGCCAGAAGATGTTCCTGGGTGCTCAGGCAACATTGTCTTTACAAGTAAATTGCTGTTAACTATCTCTACCATGAGTTTGCCCTCAGCCAATTTGTATTTTCCCAAACAATTCCCAGGTAGTTGTGGAGCTCATGCAGCCCAGGAACCACTACCCTGGGGCAATACGCACACAGTCACCATCTAGAAAATGCAATGTCATTTGTGTGGATGGAATGACACAGTGGCAACTGTGCTGGTGAACATCAGACATTTAATCTGCTCTCACAGGTGCAGTTGTAAGGTCAAGAGATCACAAAGATGTAAAAATTACACTGCAACTTCAGTTGACAGTAGGCACAGCCGTTAGATCTTAAGCCCTCCTTTGTATGAAATAACAATTTTTTCCTTTTTGACAGTGATAGCCTGTGATAGCCTCCAGATACAAAGCATGTAAGTTTCTTGGGAGAAAGGCTCAATCTGAATTTTATTCTATTAATTTTTTATTATCAAGTATTAGGAAGACAAGCCTTCAAATACTGAAGGGTGAAGGAGATGGAAGGGAGTTGTATGTAACAACATGAATTTGGACATTTATAGTTTACATTATCGTAAATGTTGTTAAAAAAGGAAATGCAGCACATAAGCTGTTATAATGAAGATTACATTTGCTTTCATTAGCTAGTGCAACACTACAACTACTATATATCACAGAAATAAAGAAGCATTCACAAAAGCTAACTCAAGCTAGTCTTCCTTGACTAAAGAGAGAGCCTGCAGGCAAAAGAGAAAAAAAAAAGCAGCACTGCTGCAAATCATCCCAGCAATAAGCCTGTCATTTCCTTACTGGTACACTGCTTCAGCAATTAGGCCACCTGAAGTTCTAATGAAGCTCTACCCCAGCACCTACCATGTTTCAACTACTGAAAGTTGCCCTTTTCTGTTATGCACATAACAGCTTGGTGGGCTGTAACTAACTGGAGTGATTTGGTTCTATAAATTCAAAATAACCTCCAAAAAATGGCATTTAATCCCAATTATTATGATTTGTATTGCTAGAACACACACTGTTTTCAGATCAACTGAAACAAACTGCAAGACACACTTAGAAAGTTTTGTAAGCCAAATTCCCCACTGAAAGATTTCATCTCAAATATCCCAAATGTTCATGAGTAAGAGTCAGAATCACAATTTTTATATCCCCCCACCTTCACTCCCCATTCCCTGAACATGGGTTTTAGAATCTCCACATACAAAGAACCTAAGGAGATCCACTAAGTTCTCCAAGCAACACCTTTCCTAGGCTGACATGCTTGGTTAAGTAAATGTCTCAAAGTACCAAGCCCCACTCTGTAATGACAGTTCTGTAAATGTTAACTGTCAACCTTTCAAAATCAGAGAACAGGTGAAGTCACAATTTATAGCAAGGGACATGTCCTGATGCTCCCTGCACTCTCAATTTCATTTTATTTTAAAGAAATAACATGCAGGCAGTGGAGGTGAAAAGAGCCCTGACGCAAAGTCTGACTGGGAGCATCCTGTCATCATCCCTATTCCCCTAAGTAAGAAAGATGGAACTCTGGCTAGGACTAGCTGGAATAAGACTGGTTTTTAACTGTTTTGTCTGGAGGTCTGCTATACAACTGCATACTGACCTGTTACCAGTCCTGGACTAACTGTATTATGTTCCAACTTCTGCCTTTACAGGAATATTTCCAATTAAAAACAGGAAGAGCATAGATTACTGAACACAGGACAAACTAAATGCTCTAATTTCACTCTGTACTGGTGATGTTTTGCCGACATTTCATGTAAAAATTGTGTTTTCATATGGAGAATGAGAGCCCCTCCTTCTCAAACATCTGCTTTAAGAAATTACAATTGCAGGTGCAAATGCAACACTGCACTTGTTTACAAACTTCAGAATTCCAACTTATCAAACTTAAACCAAAATTTAAACTTATAAAAATATACAATTTTTCACATCCAACTTTCACAAAGAAAAAGTTTCCTTCAACCTTTAAAAATAAAAAATAAAAATTATATTTTTGAAAAAAAATCAGGAAAATACTTACACAGAAGTAACAAGCATCCCATCAGTGATATACAGGAATATAAATATGGGAGGTAGAATTCCCAGAGGTCTGCAAGAAATGCAATAGGCACAGCTTTAGCTTATTACAAATAGGCTATTTATGTCATAAATACAACCAAATTAACTCCTTTCCCTTAGCTTTCTTCCTCAGGATTGAAGAATTTCTGTATTTTGGAGTAAAAACTAAGAATTACTCAATTAACAAATTTGCAGGCAACAAAATCCTGTAGCACTTAACTTGAAAAATATCTTCAGTGGCTTCAATATCTTTAGTAGCTATGCCACTAAAATCATTTGTTTTTATCATACACATACAACACCTTGTCTACACAAGCATGTAAAGTATCAGCATACTGAAAACTCGTCTAATAAACTTATTGAAAGGGAAAAAAGTTATTGACTACATTAATACAACCTCTCAATCTGTGCAGTAGTCAGATAGCATTTAGTAGTCATAAACCTAAATGAAAACAGCTGTGTATAGAATTAAAACAAGTGCAAAGGAGTCTTTTATTTGTTTGTTCTTTAAAATTCCATACCGTACAAAGACTCCATACTGGCAGCATCATTGTCTATGAGAGCTGAAGCCACCCATACGATTCCAAGGATAAGCAGTGCAAGAAGTATGAGCATTACGAGGGTCTCCAGAATGCGTGCTCTGATCCCCTGCAGGCAGAAGAAGGGGAAGGGAGAAAAACCAGAGACTTTCAATCAGACATTTTCAAACATAAGTAAAATACAAATAAATAGCAGTTTCTTCTTCCTTGATATATACCTGTATTTTATCACACAGACAAAAGGATAACATGTAATGTGCTTTTAAAATACAGTCTTCCGTGTGCATAAAAAAGGAAGTACTTATGGCTTTATAATGCCTGGGTTGAGTTTTTCCCCTTAAAAACTGCTTTATGCTCCCCACAGAAAACTGCTTTAAATTGCATATGCCTCACAGTTCTCATTAATCTCATTATTACATAAAATATTCTTTATACCGCATGATTTTGTCTGAGCGTTTTTAAAAGATGGATTACTTTTCTAATACTTTCAGCAAAGAAAGTGGATTAGCAAATTTTTATCTATGATTCCAATCAAGGGAATGGAAAGGCAATTATGGCAAATAGCCCAGCAAGCATTAAACCTCACATAGGTACAACACACCAATTTAGTTAAAATACATTCTTCAACCGAAATTGCTTCTGCTCCATTCCTCACAGTCTGCAGAGCCCTCCAGCGCAAGCTCGCAGTAGTGCTCCTTTTCCCAGCCAGCCTGCTCACTGCTGCATTGCTTCCAGCAGCACCAGCACTGAGTGCTGAGCCCAGCTGCTCTGCAGGCGTGTGATGTGTGTGCCCGCAGAGCTCTGTCACAGTTGTTTGTGAGTAGAAATGTCACAGTGCTCCAATAGCCAAGCGTTACATTTGCACATCTATGCCAAAAAGCTTTGCATTACGTATATATAAACAATATTATAGTATGCATGTATACACACACTGTGTTTTACTGCTTATTTTAAGCAATGGAGCAGTCAGGACATCTTCAAATATCCTTACTATTAACAACACAACTTCAGACTGCTGTTCATGTAGCAATTTTATTTTTCCTCAATTATCAGTATATGCATCTCCACAAATAAACTCATTTGCCTGTTTCTCATATCCCAGCTTGTGTGACAATACTGAAAATCTACATCGCAGTTCATAGAAGGAAGTTTTACCTTATTCTTTGCCCACTCTTACCAACTTTTCTCTCCCTGCTTATCACAAGACAGTAATAAACTCCACACAAAACCATTTACCTTGAAAATCAGGCTCTCAATATAACTACAGCATCAAGCAATGAATGAAGACCTGAGACATCTTAATCACATGTATGTATCTCCTATAACCACCAACTCCTCCCTGCCATCAATCTCCTGCAGAAGGTTAGCACGAAGGTAGCACAAAGGGAAAACCAGACAACTTGAGACCTTCACAACATTTCCCTTAAGGCTTCAGTGGGCAGATGCAGACAAATGCCCACCAAGGCTCTTAAACACCAAACTTCATATTAGAGGTAGTATGGATAAGAGGTTAACTTAATCCTACAGTGTATTTCACATATAGTAGAAGTGGCTTTGAGAGTCATTTATTAAAATGTAATTTTTATAGTGCTCAAAAACTTGCTTTACTTCCATGAGCTATTTTCAAGTCGAGAGTATAAGCAAAACACATATTTAAAGATTAAAGATATTCCATAGACATATTAAATACTGAAGTTGTGAATTTAAGCAATAGGTTACCAGAAAATCAATGTATTAGAGCTCAACTTCTATAGTGTTACCCCACGCCAAATCACAAACTTCTTACAGACCTGGAGAATATACTTAAAACAGTGACCTAACCTTAGGAGGTAAATAAAATATGTTAAATCTTCTACACTTCCCTGCATCCGTCCTTCTTTCACTACAGGATAGAGATACAGAGCCTTTGTTTTGCAGCAGAAACAAAGACAATGGTTGAAGAAAACCAAAACATTCAAGGATCCACGGGAAGAGACCTGTTCCATGCCTTACAAGAAGCTTGAAAACTCTTCTTCTAAGCAAAAAAGTGAAAAAAGTGAAGCTGCCCCCTGGGTTTCCGGCAGCCTCAGCCACAAAAAGTGGATTTTAACTTCTCATGTACAAATGTCAGCCTCTCCAATTTGTTTCACAGCAATGGTTTCTTCTGGCCAAAGCAAGAAAATATTTCACCTTATGTGGAACCCAGAACACTGAATTCTCCTCGTCTGAATGAATGGAGTACAATTGTCAAAACAAAAAAACCAAGAATTGCACCATGATGCAACAGAGTTGATATCAACTGTAAATACCTTCCTTCTTGCTGCAAGTTTTCTCTGAGGACAAGGTTAGGACAGATCCTTAGAGATGGCCACAACCAGAGGTAACCATTCCTTCTTGCCAGAAAGACTATAGACACGAACTCCACAAAGCAAGATACCTGCATAATGCATCCTAATTTTTTCCATGCTACTCAGAAAGTTAGATCCATCTCCTTCTGTACTCACTAGTTCCATCTATCTCCATGGTTACGTGATATATCAACAATTCTGTGGTCTCATGTACAAACTAAAGCAGGAGTGACGATTCACTCTAACACTCCAAGTTTTTATTTTTTGTATTATACACACACACAACAGGATTCAAAAATTGATGATTTATAGAGTGAGCCACATCCACTTATTCTTTTTTTTTCTTGGCAGAAGGTAGGCTTTTGTGTTCAGGTAGTTTTGCCTTTTGTTTCTCAAAAATATAAAGCTTGAGTGTTAAAATTAGTAATATCTTTAAAAGCTGGTCAGAAAACTGTACTCCTGAATGAGGACAGGGAAAAAGTAGGCAAATACATGCATAAGAAGCATAACACTTTACTGAAAGCAAAATTATGCAAACAAAGTTAGAAATCCACTGCTGATTATTTTTTTTTTTCTATTTCTTAGGAGCAAATACATTCTGACTTTTTTTATTTTTGCTTAACGTTTCTCCTTTGAGTCATTTCACTTCTCTCCCACAGCCTCACTATATTACTCATCTTCCTCAGAAGAACAAAAACATTGTGGTGCATCCATGGCACAGAAAAATACTACCACTGCTATTTCACATGGAGTCCATTTACTCAATTCAGTATGTGAAAAGTGAACATCAAGTTTAGAGACTTGACATCTTCAGAAGCAGCCGCAAACCCACCTGAAACTGCAGCTTGTAAGAGTACATTCATTGTTCATGTTCAGACTGCATCAAATCTGCCTTGAGTACAGAGCTAACAAATGCAGGTATATGAAACTACTTCAAGTTAGCATTTCAGTTCTGAAAGGAACAACAGTTGCACAGCGCTAAATCTTAATGTTGAAGAAGCAAATGCATTTGTATCACCTGGAAATGTCCTTTAGATTTCTTTCTGGTGTGCAACTGAAAACTGCTGAAACCCGTACAAGTGTCAGAGGTGAGCTACCAGTAAGTTGCATGTGCAGGTACACATGTGTGCACACAGGGTTAGGGCAAGTTCAATTGTTTAATTGGGAGAAAATAATCTCATCTGCACTTGTGATCTTTACTTAACATTCCCATGGAAACTAAACTGATTACAAGAAAGAGTAAGGGGAAAACTGTTCATGTTCTTTGTTTTCTGCATTGTTTTCATGAGGGAAAATGATGATATTGCATCCTCATCTGGAACCTGATGGTTTTGTCAGGTAGGTAAGAACAAGAAAAGCAAGCACTACGAAACCAACCACCTTGCATTGGGCTTTTTAGAAAGTTTCTCAGTATCACAACTTTGAAGCCTGCATGATAATACAAATACTACCTAATTCCTGTGGTGTCCTTCATTTAAGAAAAATGCACAGATCACGATTCCCTGTTTCATTTATTACTTCAGTTCAATCCAACCTGCAAAACTGGATTTATTTCCAAACCAAGCACAGAAAACAATTCAGAGCCAAAAGGGTACATCAAAGATGAGAAAGACTGGTTTGTATCTATTGCACATTCTGGTATATAAAGGAAAGTTCAATAGCTTCTTTCAGTTTGCATTTTTTTTTCCTGTAAGTATCTGTAGAGCCTATAAGAAGGGGCATTAAGAGCACAATCTTGACAGCAGTATGAACTAAAGATAGTCAATTAAGATATCAAACTCAGATTTCAGTACAGCATTAACCACACAGCCTTAAGTAAAATTCCCATGCTGTAGACTTACGAGATGAACACGTTCACAACCTTTAGAAATAATTAAACATGTTCCCTTCTACCTTAGGCTAAGTTGTGTTGTTGTTAAATACAGCAATAAGACAACTGTGGAGAGAGCTCCATAATACACTTGCATTATTTTTCAGTAAGACAAGCTTTGTCCCTGCAGTATTTCTATCAGCATGTCAATTTTAAGTCAAATCCCCGGCTTTCTCTTGGTCAGTTCTTTGCTGGGATGCTGGTTAAGTTGCAAAGACAAAAGATTTTAATTATTTCTTTTAACTATGTTGTAAGTACAAAACATCAAAAAAAAAAAAAAGCTGCATGAGATACAATTGCACTTGAAGTATTAAAAAGAAATGGGGAATGGAAATAAATGTTAAGGCACTGGTATTCCTAGTTTCACTGCTCTGCAGCAAGAGTAGCACTGCGACCTCATGACTTCAGTTTCCATTTGTGGACATAAACAGGAGTGGAAAAGAAAGAAATATGAATACCCAGGGAAGAACAATTAATTCTCTTAAAAAAAATCTCTAATGCCATGCTTGATTCTCGATGAATTGACAACTTGCCAGTTGGAAAGACTAGAAAATTTCCATCTTTGACCAAGATGAATAGTCCTCAGAATGAAATAGATGAAGTGATACGTACCATAGTTACTTTTTCAGATGCTCTCTGAAGATCTCAAAAAATAAAAAATAACATGAACAGAAGAGAGAGAAATCAGGAAGCATCTTCACTTGTGTAGGTGCTGATCTTGCACCTCAAGGGACCACAGGGAAGAGAGGAGACTATACAAAACCTTAAAAAGGAGAAAGATGAACAGGATGTGAAATATAAAGCCCAAAAGGGAAAGGACAGCAATATCAAGAGGTAAAAAGAACGCATTAGAAGTGTCAGGAAGAAGAATCCAATCCTGTTTTTCAGTCTTCAATTTGTAGGCCCAAAAAT